TTTTTTTTTTTTTTTTCTCCCTTTGCTTCCTTCAAGCAGTATCTCTTTTCTTTTTGTTTTTTGTTTTTTCTTTCTTTCTTTGTTTGTTTGTTTGCATCTGTGTATGTGCGTCTACTGATAGTGCTTCCCCATTGTTTATTTCTCTTTACTTTTCCGTTCACTCATTTCGTTAGATAGAAACCAGCGAAGTGGGGGCAGATGCACCCTCATACATATGTGGAGGGAATTTAACACTTAAGTAAATCTACTTAAATTACTGTTTCGTTGTTTGTCTGTTTTTTTTTTTTTTCATGGTTTAGGCGTTTATTGTTCAGTTTCGTTGTTTTTCTTCTTATTTCGTGCTCTTTTGTTGATTTACTTTCCCCTTTATGGTTCTTTTTATTATTATTATTATTATTATTATTATTATTTAAACCCTTCTTCTTGAGAAGTGTTGGTTGATATAAGATACCTGACACTATTATTTAACCGTTCTGCCTCTATCCAACTAAAATTTTTATTTATTTATTTTCATGCTGATGTTATTTTTATTGTTGTTATTAATTCGAAGGATCCTTTCTCTGGGATATGAGGTTGGGACTTGAAGTGAGAGCAGGAACAGCAGCATTCAAAAATAAATAAATAAAGTAAAAGTTGTGAGTAAGGTTTATACTATACTATTATTTATATATATATATATATATATATATATGTTGGTATGGTATAATATATTATTGTATTGCTTGGCTCTGAGAATATAATCAGAGTCTCTTTTACCCTACCCTTGTCTTTCATTCTTTTTTCTCTCCTCTGTACAGTGTAGAGGGATGTGGAGTTAACAAATTGAAACGAAAGTTTAATTTATTTATTCCTCAGAATGTTAGCATGGGAAGAGGTAAAACAAAGCATATACGAACAATGGACGATAAAAGAAGAAAAAGAAAAATATCATTGTGACCATCTGAAAAGAAATATATATATATATATATATATATATATATATATATATATATATATATATCAACTATCAGATTTCTTCTGTTTTCTGGAAGGGAAAAGAAAGGAATTCATAATGAGGAAGAGTGAAGGATAGTAAAACAAAAAGAAAGAGGCAGCGTTTCGTGTTGCATTGATAGTTTAATGCTAATGGGTTAATAAGAATTGTTTTTTTTTTTTTCTCAGTATCTCTGTGTGTGTGTACATTTACTTTGTTTTTCTTCCTTTTCTGTCGATGAAAACAGCTTTATAGTTGCACATATATATATACCTATCCTTACTATCTATCCCACTATATATATATTTATATATATATATAGACAGAGAGGAAGAGAGAGAGAGATAGACAGATAGTGGTGTTAGCAGTCATGACAAGTTCGAATGTCAATGCCTATGTAGATGGCGATAGTATAAACAGCAGTGATCCTTCACAGCAGGACGGCGATATCCCCGTTGCCCAGTCGATTCTCACCATTCACTCTCTCTATGATCTCCCACGTGAGATGCAGCAATTGGACCCGCGGCAGGAGGTGTTGGAGATTGTTTTACAGCCCACTGTGAGGTACGACTATCATGAACGACGCATTACGAGTCTCCCACTTGAGGAGCGAGTGGTGCCGTTGTCATCATCCGACATTCTCTTCAAAGGCGGTCGCTATGTTCTTGATCTTGACAGCGTCACTGCGGGATCGCCAAAGCAGCGCGGCCGACCACAAGCAGAAGAGGGCGACGACGATTTTGACAGTAGTAACAATAGCGGCCACTACACGGCAGGAGGATCCAATCGTCTGCTGCTGCAGTACCCGTGTCCGCGTGGATTGACGACGCTGTTGGAAGTCATTGTTGGCATTCGGCAGCGGCGCATTGGTTCCTCCTTCACGCGGTGGGTGACGGGCAATCCCCGCGTCCATCAAGTAGGCGAGGGCGTTGGCTATTTGGCCGTCGCCGCGGAGGAGGTGTACAGACGCAAGACCGTCACGCGTATTGTTGGACTCGCCCTCGGTGGGATTATTTGTTCCATTGCGGTGAGTGAGAATGATGATTTGTCGCTGGTGCGAGAGCGGCTGCGTCGCGATGTACGGCGACTCACATCCCGTCTCTCCACCAACGCGAGTAATAACAACAACAGCAATGCGAATATCAATAATAATGTGAATACGCCGTCAATGGAGGATGTGGATGTGGATGGACTCCTGCTGGGCGGGGCGAGTGAGGCGGAGGTGTACCGCCGGCTGCTGCTCGCCGTCGACCCCGAACACTACAGACGCCGACTGCGCAGTCTCTTAACACTCTACGGCGCGGCGGAGGGATGTGCGGAGTGGACGCAGAACGCAGAAACACTACTGCACGAGTACACTGGGCGAGAAGAGGAATTACTACGCCGTGCCGCCATTGAACTGGGCCCAGAGTGTGGTGCGGTCTCTTCACGCTACAGACTACTCGCCTACCGTAAGAAGTACTCCCTCAGTGATAGGGCTATATTTACATGTTTACAACCAGTCGTAACGGAGGGAATGAATGAGACACTGGATTTTGAACCGGAGGTCATCTTTGCCGCGTTAACGGCGAAGTTTGGAAAGGAACCACGTCCAACTTCCTATATGTTCCCAGCTCAACAATACGTACCAGATAAACGAACCTACTTTTTGGATACTCTACTTTTCCCTATTAATCGATTTGGTGAAAAGTCTCGTAATGTGACATTACCTCAACGATATAAACGTTTACCTTTTACCATGTCTCCATGTGAACGGCCTTTGTTTATAGGCAGTTCAAATGCACGGCCGGGTAAACCACCAGGTGAGATTGAGATTTTACGCGAGAAGTATGCCCCGGAGTTTGCTCAAATTGTACCTTCTATTGTGAATGCCCTGCGGGAGGTGGTGGATCAGAATCAACAACTACTACAACAGCAAAAACAACAGCAAACATCTATTCCAGTAGATAGTGTTTTTGCCATATTTCAGCAACAGGGAACACATCCACAACTCACATTTCAGGATTTTGTACATCGTACAGTGGAATATACCTTCATTTCACCCTCTTCTCTTCTTGCGGCTATTATATATCTGGATCGCTTGTGTTTGCGACATCCAACTCTTTTGATTACGGAAAGCAATGTATTACGTCTCTTTCTCACTTCTGTGCGAGTTGCCTCTAAAGTGGTTGAACTGCGAAGTATCAATAACCGTCATTTTGCCAATGTGTTTGGTTTAGATACAGTCACGATAAACCTTTTGGAGGGAGTGTTTGTTAAACAACTGCAGTTTGATGTGTTTCTTTCACCAGAGGAGTTTGCTGAATATGCACGGGGACTGCTGCCAGCGAGTGCCCAACAGTTACGAATAGTAACAAAGGAGGAACCCACATCCCTGTCAACGCCAGGGGTACAAAATTACCAAAGGTCCACAGTTGATAACAACAGGAATACTAATAATAATAATAATAATCATCATCATCATCATGGCAATAACAACAACAACAACAACAATAATACCAGTATCAACAACAAAAACAGTGGATATACCAATATAGAAAATGATGAAGCCTCCCATATTCTAAGGAGTACCGTAGACTCTGCTGATGGTGAGGCAGCAAGAAATGATTCTCGAAAAGAGTTACAAGAGGCCGGTGATGGCGCGGGTGAGAGAGGAGAAGAAGTGTGTAGTCCGAAAAGTATGTCTGGAAAAAGATATGGGAGTGGGACAGACCTAAACATTCGCAATTATGTTAGTGTTAACAATGGTGTAACCACCATAATAGTCGCCCCTAGAGAAGAAGTTATTGAGGGACGCAGAGTCAGTGGAGGAGCTCGCAATCCAACAGGATGCAAATCCAAACTTGCAGTGTAGTGGGAACCTTTCTTTCTTTTTTTTTTTTTTATTTTGTTTTTATATATATATATATATATATATATGTTTTTTTTTTTTCTCTGTGTATGAGTTTATATGTATTAAATGTATTCAAACGAAAGAGTAACAGGTAAACTCAGCCCCAGTTTATCTGAGGCACTGTAGAGAGTTGTGTATAAAATGATCGTTTAAAAAAAAAAAAAAAAATACATGAACGGGGCTAAAGCAAAGAAAGAAAGAAAAAAAAAAGAAAACCACCAACTTCTTCCTTTGGTTCAATTTTATTGAAAAGAAAGATCCCATGTCAGATATTCTTACAGGTGCTGAAATCCTAAAGCAAAAGGGTTTTTTTTTTTTTTTTTTTGCTTGAAGTATTCTGCATTCTTATCTTCCCTTCTTCTTCGTATTGTTGCCACTTTTCTTCACTCTCATTATTTCGTTTAGTAGTTGGTAATGTGATAATGCCTACATAAATGAAAGAAGAGAGGGTATATCCATGTAAAGGGAAACAGTAATATATATATATATATATATATATATATATATATATATTACTGTTATCATAGTAGAGATGTGCAAAAGGGGGTGATAGGGAACGAAAGGGAGAATGAATCATTTTTTTTTTTTGATTTTTGTTATTAATGTTGATTATCTGTTTTTTTTTTTTTTCTGTTGACTGTTTTTTTCTTTTTTTTTTTTTTTACCTCATTTGTGCACCTTTCTTACGAATTTATTTTTGAAAGAGAAAAAAAAAGGCTTATGTCGGGGAATAATGTCTCATTGTTCCTTTTGTTTGTTTGTTTTTGTTTTTGTATTAGAGGATTTCACTTAGTATAAGTTTTTCTTAATATTGTCGTTCTTGAGCATGTGCACCCAACAGAAAAAAAAGAAAAAAGAAAAGTAAAAAAAGAAAAAAAAAACAAGACAGTCAAGTCGCACTTGAATTTTTTTTTTTTTTAGTTTTTTTTTTATATTCACCCCCCTTACGAACCGTACAGATGGCGGGAAGAGGGTGATGAATATGAAAAAAAGGGAGGGGAATATATATATATATATATATTTGTACATTTTATAAAGAAAAAGGCCTTTGGGATAGCTTTTTTCTTCTTAACATGGGTTGTTGTGTTTCTTTTTCTTTTCTTTTTACTGCATCTTTTTTTTTTCTCTTTTTTTTTTTTTTTTTTTGTTGATTGGTGAGGTGTTTGGGGTGTTCCCCACTGTACACTTATTTATCTTTTCTTCAGTCGATGAAATTATTTTCTTGACTGCAGAGATGTGAAGAAATAAAAAAAATAATACTGAGCGTCGTGTCTGTGTGGAAGAAAAAGAAAAGACAAAAAAGAGAAGAGAAGAGTGAGAAGGTGGCTCGTGGGTAAACGTGCCTACCTTGATTGTTGTGTATACGATGGATGATGACACAATTTCTTTTTTCTTGTTATTGGTCTTTTCCTAATAGCATATGTATGTATATATATATATATATATCTGTTTTTTTGTACATCAAGAAAGAAGTGTATGCATCTATTCCTTTCATTCTCTCTTCCTTTATTTTATCTTCCTTATTCTTTTCTTTTTTTTTTTTGTTTTTCTGCTTTTGTTATTATTGTTGTTATTCGATATGTCGCATCTTCTTTGGTCGGTGTTATATACGTGTATCTATATATATAAATATAAATATGTATTGTGGTATACTGGCAAACTTCCCCTCTTCTTCTTTCAAAAAAGAAAAAAAAAGAAGTGGTACCACTTTTCCATTTTCATTATGTATCTATTATTGTGAATGATATATCTGACTGCTGAGAGTGTGTTTTTTTTTTTTTTTTTTTCCTTTTTATTTCATTCACTCATTGTGTCTATGAATGGGTCTTTGTGTATAGTGAACAACAGAGAGAGAGAAAGAGAAAGGGGGGAAGACAAACAAACCGCAGAAGGTGTAAAGAGGCCAGAGCAATGAGGAGAATAGGGAGAATGGTCATATATTTCTTTATTTTTCTCTCTATTTGTTTTTCTGTATTTGTGTTTATTTAGTGTGTTTTTTTTTTTTTTTTTTTTTTC